CTAGGTGGCTACATTGTTCCTTGTTATATATTTATTTATTTTTGTGGATATTGAGTATATACTATCTAATTTTTTATTTTTATTTTTTTGAACAATACTATCTAATAATTGGGATTCACATTTTTTTTTTATAGTAAGAGTACCTCACTGGGGGTCGACCCCCAGTGGGGGTCCGAAGCATTAATCATTCAACAAACATGAAACCCAACATTTTGAGCACACGTGGTTTAGTTTTATTTGATATTTTTTTATGCAAAAAAAAAAAAAGTGCAAAAAAATAAAGATAATGTGATAAAATAAGTTAAAAGAGGCCTAAATCACTACTTATGATTTTATGAAATTTAGAATAAAATCAAACCATTAAAATTTTATAATCAAATCAAATCAAATTGAACAAATAAAAGCTGATTTGGTTCAGTTTAAAACAATAATTTTAAAAAATGTTGTCATTTTTATTCAAAACATAATCATCAAATATTATTCACAATTTACTTAAGATAAAGTAACATGTCACAATCGGAATAGGAATATATGGATCTTGGTGTTTAAAAAGGCAAGTTCAGTTCTAAACCACAAATTATTTTTTTTTTCGATTAGAAAAAATATATATTAATGGAATTCAAATACATAAAGCATTGAGACAACATCAAAAAAACAAAACCATGCAATACTAAACTAGAATTATAATAATTATAAAAAATTAAAATTAAACTATAAGTTACGATTTACCTGTTTAAAAATCAGGATGAAACCGAATATTATGAAAATCGAACTGTGCAATTAGGTTGACTTTTTTGATTTTTTACTCAATCATACTTTTATGTGTAGCCATTTATTACTTTACATCAATATATATATAGAATTTCTATATATATAAAAGAAAAAAGTTGCACAATATAGTTTTTCCATCATAAGCTCAAATTATGAAAATAACATTGTCGCATAAGAAAATAAGATTGAATATATTTGACCGTAAAAAAATCGTGAGCACTGAAACATTTTCCTTTATTTCATATGGGTAGTGAATCATGATCTCTAGGTGTTGTAATTTCCACAAACAGTAAAAATCTAAATTCAATTCTTTGCTAAGTTTAGAATGGACTAATAAATTCTATTAAAAGCCTTGAAATGAAATCAAAAAATGTACTAATGAAGAACAAACAAACCATGTAACATATAGACCACAATTTATTTTCTCCTTATTTGACACACTTCAATAAGGAATCAAATTGGAGATTATTACCGGGAGAGGGAGAGGGAGAGGGAGAGAGAGAGAGGGTCCCTGTAGGCCTCATCTAAGTTATCCATAGAACCTTTAGCCCTCGTCAAACTCTTCCCCATTGTTCAGCTTTGATAGTCCCATGCCATGGAAGCTGTCATACATGCATCACACACAACATTTAGGCTCCATTTGTATTTATGAATTTGAAATGCATGAATTTAATATTAATCATTCAAGGAGAGAAAGTAAGAAGAATAGCTCATATTTAGATATGATAGTTTATCTTTGTATTTCAATATTATATTAAGAAATTTTATCATGATGGATTTGAAATACCTATGAAAAAAATAATTATTTGGAATCATTCTAAATATTCTCCTTTTAGCTAAAAAAATGTTACAAAAAATACATCTTTTTTAGTTTTTCTAACCACCAACAATAGCTAATTCTTCAATATTTGTATAAAATTGATTTAAAATACATCCAATCAAACAGACTCTCTCTGTGAATTTCTTAAAATATTTCAGACAACAACTTTAGATGGTATCATTTTTTTTTGGGATCAGTTATAGTACTCTCTACCCAACTAATTTTTAGATCATATTTGATTTGAGAATAATGGATTTTAACTCATTTGATTCATATTTTGCGAATAACTAAAACATCCTCGTCGGGATAACTTATCATTCTTTATCAAGTATTAAAAAGTTTTTCAAACTTGTTTTTTTAAGGGATTCATAGTATTTCACATAAACAAAACACAATCTAATATAAAATGATTTGGGGTTTCTAACTTATCAATTAGTTAACGTTACTTATGCCTATGGTTAGTCCTCTAATACGCTAGTTACCAACCTTGAAATATATTATGCAACGAACCTGCTTCAGAGATGGTCCAGTTCTTGTCAAATCCAACTGCCCAGAAGAAATATCCACCCAGGCCATTCGCTCGAGCGAAGTTCACCTTGTTGCTGATCGATTCCATGTCATCATACCCAATCCAATCGGTTCCTGCATATGAATATGTCGACACGGTCTCCTCATCAAACACAACAGAGGCATTGTTTGCCAGATTAAAATCCACAATATCACTATACTTCATGACTCTTAAATAGCCAGGTCCTGTCCCATTTGCAGGAGCTGCGATTCCATTCTGATTTGGGTCCTTCAATTTCCATGTCCTACCATACATAGGTAGCCCCATCACCAGTTTCTGCGGGGGCACTCCATTTTCAACCTGAAAGATTGGTAAAGAGAGAGAGAAAAGAGAGAGAATGAAATGAAAGATTGGTATATTCAATGTCTGTTATTGTATATTATGTATTTACAAGAGAATGAGCTCTCTCTCTTTATAGAGAGGAGAAGGAGACAATGGAGCACCGAAAGCATAAGACAATACATTAAAACAATATAAAGGCTACTGCTAAAGCTAAAAGTGTGTGGTAGTGGGTGTTTGCCCTTTACAGCTACAAATGCACTATAGTGTGATGTATATTATATGTTAACAGCCCCCCGCAAACTCAAGGAGGGTAGGCATCGACCAAGTTGAGTTTGGAAACAAGATCACGGAAGCGCCCAGGAGGATGAGCCTTGGTGAAAATATCAGCAGGTTGATCGGCAGAAGCAATAGGGAGAAGATGAATAGTACCACGTGTAACATGCTGTCGAATGAAATGACAATCAATCTCAATATGCTTGGTGCGATCATGAAAAACATCATTGTGAGCAATCTGAATGGCACTCTGATTGTCACAATAAAGAGAGGTAGCGCCAGAAGAGGAAACACCCATATCAATGAGGAGCCAGCGAAGCCAGAGAAGTTCCTGAGTAGTATCAGCAAGAGCTCGGTATTCAGCTTCGGTGCTAGAACGGGCAGTGAGGGATTGTTTCTTGCTACGCCAAGTAAGAAGAGAATCCCCTAAGAAGAAACAGAATGCCGTGGTGGAGCATCAATCCGTAGGATCCCCAGCCCAATCAGCATCAGAAAAGGCACGCAGTTCAAGAGAGGAGGAAGCAGAGTAGTGAAGGCCATGGAACAGAGTGCCTTTGAGGTATCGAAGGATGTGGAGTAGAGCAGTATAGTGGGGAGTGTGAGGAGCCGACATGTACTGACTAACAATGTGAACAGCATAGGCAATGTCAAGACGAGTCACTGTGAGATAGACATGACTACCGACGAGCTGGCGATAAAGAGTAGCATCATTGAGGAGAACCCCATCGAGAGGAGTGAGACGAATCTGAGGATCAACTGGAGTAGATGTAGTTTTGCAATCAGTAAGACCAGCACGAGCCAAAAGATCGGATGCATATTTGGCTTAAGATAAATAAGAGCCAGTAGAATCATGAGAGACTTCAAGGCCTAAAAAGTAGTTAAGAGTACCAAGGTCCTTCATCTCAAACTGACGGTGGAGAAAACGTTTGAGGTGGAGAATACCAACTGCATCATTACCAGTGATAATCATATCATCCACATACAGAAGGAGAAGAGTGGTACCATAAGGAGTAGTCCGTATAAAAAGAGCAGAGTCATAGGAGCTAGAGGTGAACCCGAAGTCATGAATGGTAGAACTGAACTTAGCAAACCAAGCGCGGGGTGCTTGCTTGAGGCCATAGAGGGCACGCTGTAGTTTGCAAACCTTATGAGGGGGAAAAGTAGACCCAGGTGGAGGTTGCATGTAGACCTCCTCAAGAAGATTACCATTGAGGAAAGCATTTTTGACATCCATTTGAAAGAGCTCCCAGTGGCGAGCGGTAACAACAGCCAGTAAACTGCGAACAGAGGTAAGCCGAGCAACAGGGGAGAAGGTTTCCTCATAATCAATCCCATATTCCTGGTTGAAACCCTTGCAACAAGACGAGCTTTGTAGCGTTCAATAGAGTCATCAGAATGAGTCTTGATTTTGTAAACCCATTTGTAGCCAATCGCAGTTTTGCCAGGAGGAAGGTCAACAAGATCCCAAGTATGAGTTTTGTCCAAAGCCTGAAGTTCATCAGTCATAGCTTGCTGCCAAAGAGGATTAGTACAAGCCTCACGATAGGAGGTAGGTTCATAAGTAGAAAAGGCAGCAGACCCAACAATATAATCACGAAGGTGGATAGGAGGTTGAGTTACCCGGTGTGGTCGACCCGTAGGAGGATCGGTGGGAGGAAGAACCAGTGGAGAAGGAGGCGGTGCAGGGAGAGGTGGACCTTCAGGGAGAGCAGTCTGATCGGGAGCAGGAGTGAGCAAGGGCGTCTCAATGAAGGAGGAACCTGTATCAAAATCATCAGAGAAGAGATCTCATTCAAGGAGAGAAAGTAAGAAGAATAGCTCATATTTAGATATGATAGTTTATCTTTGTATTTCAATATTATATTAAGAAATTTTATCATGATGGATTTGAAATACCTATGAAAAAAATAATTATTTGGAATCATTCTAAATATTCTCCTTTTAGCTAAAAAAATGTTACAAAAAATACATCTTTTTCAGTTTTTCTATCCACCAATAATAGCTAATTCTTCAATATTTGTATAAAATTAATTTAAAATACGTTCAATCAAACAGACTCTCTTAGTAAATTTCTTAAAATATTTTAGACAACAGCTTTAGATGATATCATTCTAAGAAATTTTTTTTTTTTTTTTCTTTTTGGGATCAATTACTATACTCTCCACCCAACTAATAGAACAACTAAAAAGTTTATCCAGTATTAACTAAAACAGCCTCATCGGGATAACTTATCTCCTTTATTCAGTATTAAAAAGTTTGTCAAATTTCTTTTTTGAAGTGGTTCACGGTATTTCACATAAACAAAACAATTAGTTAACGTTACTTATGGCTATGGTTAGTCCTCTAATACGCTAGTTACCAACCTTAAAATATATTATGCAACGAACCTGCTTCAGAGATGGTCCAGTTCTTGTCAAATCCAACTGCCCAGAAGAAATATCCACCGAGGCCATTCGCTCGAGCGAAGTTCACCTTGTTGCTGATCGATTCCATGTCATCATACCCAATCCAATCGGTTCCTGCATATGAGTATGTCGACACGGTCTCCTCATCAAACACAACAGAGGCATTGTTTGCCAGATTAAAGTCCACAATATCACTATACTTCATGACCCCTAAATAGCCAGGTCCTGTCCCATTTGCAGGAGCTCCGATTCCACTCTGATTTGGGTCCTTCAATTTCCATGTCCTACCATACATGGGTAGCCCCATCACCAGTTTCTCCGGCGGCACGCCATTTTCAACCCATGTCGAAATACCATAGCTAGTGCTAACATTGCTGGACTTGTCAAATAGCAACGCTTGAGCACCGGTGATCGAGGTGTCCCAAGAACCATGGTAATCATAGCACATTGGGTTCACAAAATCCAGGAAGTTTTTAATGGCACCGCCAGGGTATGTTCGTGGAATCTTCGCTAAGAAGAAGTTGGAGGCAAAGTAGACTGCTGCAGACAAAAGGAGTCGCGGCTTACCAGAAGCGAGCGATTCCATGTTAGTGGCAGTGCGCCACTCGTAGAAGAGCATTGAGAAGCGTGTCATGTCCTGTGGGTTTTGTGGGAATTCCCAATCGAGGTCAAGGCCATCAAAATCATACTTTCTAGCCACGTCGATGGTTGACTTGATGAAGGCAGCACGGGTGTCGTGGCTGCTTGCCATGTTGGAGAAAGTTGAAGAGTTTGAATTTCCTCCTCCGATGGATAGGAAGGCTACTGCAGGCGTCATTTGGGCATGGAGGGTGGCAGTGAAATTCCCCATCCACTGATCGTCAAGCGGGGTGACAAAGAGTTGGTAACTTGTGGCATCGGGCAAAACCAAAGCATAAAAGAGGTGAGTGAAGTATTTAGTAGGGATTGTTGATGAAGGGAACCTTTCGGCTATCGATGAAGGCCAATATCCACCCTTGATGCCACCAGAGGGCAGTGCACGAGCAGGGGCCAGTCCTGGTGCATATGGAGCTGGTGAAGGAGAAAATGGAGGCATCGATGGCGGTGTAATTTTGTGTGGTTTAGAAGTATAGGGTGGAGATGACATCAGTATTGATGCATTACACGAGGCAATTCCATTGCCTGCAACGCCAATGATGGCCAGAAAGAATGACAGAAATTTCTTCTCGGCCATCATAAGATTTTTCTCAAGTTGTTCATTGCAAGAATAGTGAATTTACCTATATACAACGATGTTGATTGGATTAAAGACCATGTTTGTATCAAAATTCTATGTTGTTTCATCCAAATTTGTTTGGAGATTTGTGTTTAGATTTAGCAGACGCTGTGTTTGATATTAATATTAGTATTATTGTTTTTGGGCCAACTTTTGGAACGGACTTTGTCAATTCTGTATTGGGGCGTGCTTTTCTAGTCATCAATGTTGGACCTAGTTATTGCAATAATTAGACCGACTAAAAAATAGAATAAAATAAAATAAAAATATCCAAAACATTGTGGAAGTTATATTTCATTGATTTTAAGGGCTTGTTTGGGAAGCAAAGATTTTAATCAAAAAGTCACTACAAGTTGTTAAATTATTCTTTCTATTTTTTATACGTTTTTCTTATAAAAAAAAAATTCAAAAAATCATTAAAAAAATCAATTCTTAAGCGTGCTCTAAGTAAAACCCACACTCAATCAAAAAGAGTTGCATTTGGGACTTTTCTCTTTTTCTTTTGTTTTTCTTCTTAAATAGGTTTGTAACATTACTATGATTTACCATACTTATTATTATTATTATTATTATTATTATTATTATGATTGGGGCTATACAAAATTTAAATTAGAATAAAACTATGTAGGAGCCTTAAGTCCTCTTATTTTAAAATTAAAAATCCATCAAAATGATTTTTATTTTCAAAAATATCATTAACACATAATTCTTGATATCTTACAATCGCGCCAAATCATCAAATCTCAAGTTATTTTTTTTTAAATTGGTATAAGGTCACTAAAAGAAAATTATGTAGTGGTTTTGAGGCAAATTCACATAGTGCCCTAATTTAATATTTATTGGTTAAAGTTATGGGACCCCGTACTTTTTGCTTGAATTTTGAGAGATAACTTGACAAATATCATGTAATAAATTGCGTGAAAGTCATCAAATAATAACTCCACCCTACAAGAAGCACACGAATACAAGTATAAACACTACAAGAATTTACACATTTGCCGGCCACTTTTGCGAACCAAAAAAATTTTGGTCGCAAAAAAATGACATTTGGCAACCAAATATTAATTAGTCGCGAATGATCATTATTTTTGGCGACCAAATATTATTAGTCGCAGAAGGTTATATTTTGGCGACCAAAAAATGAGTTGGTCGCAGAAAATTGTATGCTTTTGCCGACCAACTACAAATTTGGTCGCGGAAGGTCACATATTTTTTGGCGACCAAAAATTTGGTCGCCAAAAACTTATTTTCTGCAACAAAAAAAAAATTAGTCGCCAAATTAGTACTTTTAGCGACTAATATTTTAGTCGCCGTTAATTGAGATTTGGCGACCAACAAAATTTGTCGGTGACGGTTATTTTTCTGCGACTAATATGATCTTTAGGTCGCCAAAAATTTGGGAGGGAAATTTGAAACGTGGAAGACATAATAAAAAAATTCGCTTGCTCTCCCTCTCCCTCTCTCTCTCTCACCGTTGCCCACAATGTATTCTCTGTTTCTTTCTTTGCTCTCTGTCTATTTCTCTTTCTCTTTGACATTCACATAAACACAAACCCTAGGCCACCAAAGCAGAGAGCAAACACGAAGAAGGTGCTAACACGAAACGAAACAGGAGCAGCGGCGGAGCAGCAATGGGTTTGGCGGAGAGAGGAAGGATGTTCGGTGGCAGTGTGTCGAGCCGCCTACACTCTACCATTGCTAATCCTTTCAATCTCAGACCTCTTGCATCAGATAAACACGCTCTCTCTCTCTCTCTCTCTCTCTCGTTTGCCCCAATTCAAACCCTAACTATAATTTTCAACTTCTCAGATTTTTGCCCCTTCATTGTCCAACCTCACAATCTCGTTTTTCAAAAAACATTTCAATTTCGTTATTGGTATTGGTGGCATGGTGTTCTTATTCTCTCTCTCTCTCTCTCTCTCTCTCTCTCTATATATATATATATATATAGTGTGTGTGCGCTTGTGTGTTTGGTCTATCCTTACCAGGTACATATATAGTGTGTGCTTGTGTGTTTGGCCTCTCCTTACCAGGTATTGATGAACTCTACATCTATATATATATACAAACATGCAATAGAGTGTTTGTATGTATCAATGATAGTAGTCATATGGTCTCTCCTTAGTGTTTGGCATGCCTATAAGGTGTTTGTTTTTTGGTCTATGTTAAAATGTTTGGAAGAAAGAAAGAAAGAAAACTGCATTGAATATCTAATTTACAATCTCTGTCTCTTTTGGGTAGGGAAGGGGAAAAGGAAGTCATGGAATTTGATCCTGTCAGCGTTGATGTGGTTGGTTTGGGGTGAAAGGAACCAACCAAAAAACTTTTGTTCGTAAAAAAGAATAAATTTTGAGTATTCAGAAAAAATTGTGTTCTTTTTATATAGTTGGTTCTCAGGGTTGGCTAACCCGCCCTTGAACTAATTTTTGGATTTTGCAGGGAGTACATTTTGAGGTATAGTGGGTAGAGCTCATGTTTTTTTTATTTGGTATATGGGTTGCACCCCCCTTGGTGCCTCATCTTTGTTGAGATCATACTTCTAAAAAGAAAGAAAGAAAGAAAGAAAGATCTATCTTTCTTAATACATTCATAAACTGTTTTTTACTTCATGCCATCGTAGTTTCTTGATAACTAAAATTTATTTAAGCTACTTTTGAGATTCATTACGTTGGCATTTTGATTCCACCACAAGAGCAGCATGAGCGTTGTGAGGTTTTGGCAAGTAGTGCAGAACCAATATTTTATACCTAGTGTCACTTCATGTATTGGAGATTATTGCATTGAAGAAGAAAAGGAAGGGCAAATTCGTAATCTATTCATCAAAAAGGGATCCAGTCCTTACAGTTTAACTTTTTTTGGTCCATTATTAACAAATAAATAGATGAAGTATTGCATTTTGGAATGAATTATGGTGCCAGACACTACAATCTTCCCAAAATCTACACCCTGGCACACAACGAGGGGTTGCATGAGTCGATACGTCTTGTCTGAACAAGTGTTCGACATGGCAATCATTGATGTAGACAATACAAGTAAGAAGTTCTTAGATCATATGCATTGTTATCATAACCATGGGACTGTGTTGCAACCTAATGTCATAGCCCTTTGATTGCAGCAGATCGCTATAATGAAGCATTTGAGTCATTTGATAGTTGATCCATAGGAAGACGATTTTCAATTAACATGGTAGTCATTTGGCCTATTAGGGATGTTCGATAAAATATTGCTATGTATTTGTGTTTTTAGTAGCTTGTGTATGGAAAAAATTTTAGGCCTTGCATGTTATCCTACTGGGTCTGATATGATTTGGGAACTTACTTTCTAGGTTAGCTTTACTCTATAATTAACCCAAATAAAAAAATGAGAAGCAATTGAGCTCTCTATCTGTGGTTCCCTCTCTTCTTTTTCTTCTCCTTGCTTTCATTTTTCTGCTCTCTTTTCTCTTTCCATATGTGCATGTGAAAAGGAAAATTCCTTTAAAAAACTTCTTCTTTCCATACAATTAATGTCCTTTTGAGCCCCATGGTTTGTTTTCCTTTGGGGAATCTTTTTGTGCTATGTTCTGTTTCTGTACTTTGAAGTTTGAATAAAAATCTGAATGACATTGAGGAATCCCTGTCTTATTGTGAAAGAGTCTTGCATAAATCACACCGGAGTGCTACTTTGTAGAATTGCTAAAGCCAACATGTGTTTTTTATTTTAAATTGTGGTGAAGTTCCAGATTTCTTTTTGAAGATACACAGAATAAATGTGTACTTTGCAGTTGATGCATGTAAACATAACTGAAATGCACTTTCTAATTTCAATTTTGTTTATTAGTTGTGTGTTAAAATTAGTTTTGTATGCTTTTGTTTGTGTGTTTTCTATATATATATATATATTTATGATACTGACTCTCTCCCAAAAATAACGATCAAAGTCATTTGCACTGTGGTTTGTGTGGGTGATATTCACCAATGTAATATCACCCCACTGCTGGGATTGATTGATTGAGTATGGAAGCACGTGATTTATCCATGAGGTTCTATCATCGAAAGGTATGATATGATTATTTTATCCGCTGCGTAATTGTTTGTTTTTTATTTACAATGTTTTTCACAAATGCATCAACGTATTAGGCCAATATAGGAATTTTGGCCATAATTGATGATGTTATATTAAACTAGGTTTGTTTCATTGAATAGCAGAGCTGTTTCTATACTATGGTTGTTACGACTTTCATTTACTTCAATGGTATCTCAATGATTTTACTTTACCTGCGGATGCTGCTTGAAAAAGCTAGATTCATTGATGGCATCTAATTACAGTTTGATCATTGTGTGACTGTATTTAGTTCTATTCTTCTGTAAGATTGTTCTAGAATTTTAAGAGAAATACTTTTGATTAAAGAAATGCTTAATTTGATTTCATATTTATTCTCGCAGATCCTCGTGACGATCTCAGCGGGATGGATGTAGCAAGAAAGGTTTGTATTTTTTTCCAGGAATTTGTTGACCCCTGCCCTCCTTCCATAAAATCACTTGCATTTAGCTGAGGTGAAACTAATTTCAAGAAAGTATTCTGTTTGAGGATACATCATAAACATATTAATACTAAATGGTACGCATTTGCGAAAGGCTTAGTTCTATTATTAACTTTAATGTTTTACTTGTGTAATGTGACACCTAGTGTGTTGTACAGATTGGAAGAATTTGATTAGTGACAAGTGTGCAGCAACTGTTATACTACTCAATTTGGAGTAGTTCTGGCTTATAAACAAAAATTATGGTTTGACTGGCATTCTAGCAACTGAGATCTCCTACTTGTTTCCTGTTCGACTTGTGCAAAATATGAAATAATCTCAACATTGTTCAGAGTGATGATATCCTTGAAGTAGTTGATTTGCAAGTTTAAAAAATCTAATAGTTCTTGCTCAATGGGAAATCCTCTAACTTCAAAACTAATTCAAATTATTATTTTTATCCTCTTCTGATGAAACCTTGTCACTGATGAAGTAGATAATACAAAACACTACGTAGTTTTATTTGAGATAGTTTTAAGATATGTTGCAATATGTCATGTATTGATCACTAGTTTTTCTATTTGAAGACAGGCTTTGATCCTTGCTCGACTTCTTGGTCAGCGGATTGACTTGGACAACATAAAGGTTTGGACATTGAGATGATATACTTGTATATCTCCACTTTCAAATCAAGTATGACCAGATTTATATGTAGTTTCTACTTTAATCTTGTAGGTTGAAAGCTTGTATCCTGAAGAAATGGGACCAAATCTAATGCATGTTGAAGATTTTTTGGTGAATGGCCTTCCACTGCCTGATAAAGGCATCCAAGAGAGGGTTGAAAGGGCTTCTTCAAATGGCAATGTGCTCCGTTATGTTTGTGTGATTGAGGACTCAAGGTACTTTATATTTCTGTTTCAATCAAGTCTTGGAAGTTTGCTATATTTTCAAACACATATTTGTGTTCATTCAGCAGAGCAGTAGTCATGTGGGTAGATGAGCAAGATGGGGAAGCAATTGAGCTTGCCTTCAGTAAGAAGAAAATTGAAGCAAGGAAGAATTGGCTCCGACAGTTTGAGGTTGGAAGTTAAATTTCTTTCTTCCATAAAATCTAAGGTGTTCTGTAATTGTTCTTTTTCTAATAACACTTTCTTTGTCTATGTGATTTGCAGCCTGGCGCTTACCTTGATCAGAAGGAGAAGCTCATTAAGTACAGTGATTTTGTCAACAAAGAGCTTATATTATTTTCTAGAATGTTCTTCTGTTGTTTCATGTTGTATCTTGCTATTTTTTTTGTGGGGAAGGTTAAGTTGATTATGTTCTCTCTCTGTGTCTGTCTCTTTTTGTACTTGGTGGGGAAGCTCTTGTAAAATTTCATTCTATTGGTGATTAAACACACAATGGAATTGTCTATAAACAGGATGGACTAAGCAATGGGATTGCACAATCTGTGCAACCTGAAATCATTCACATTTCACACTAAGATAGAATCAAAACAATCTGGTATTCAGGGCAATGAAAAGGTAATGGTACCTTTTGTTCTGTTTTGTTCTGACAATTATATATCATAGTTTGAGTGAGATATAGTTAATGAATATGTATCACCTAGTTTGTGTCTTAGATTGGATCCTGATGTTACAATTTCCAAATTGATTTTTGGCTAGCTTGCTAAAATTTCTTAGTTTTAGGAACCTTTGTATGGATTAAATATTTTTTATTAAAATTTAATTTTGGGATTAGCACATTCCCTGAGAAGTTATCACTTCGCTGTGTTTATGATGCAACTTCTGTTTTTTTTCTTTTTTTCATGTTTCCTCTCTTGAAGTCGATTAGTTAGTGTGTTTCATTTTTGTTCTTTGTCCGTAATGATTGAAATTGACAACACATATATGAATGCTTTCTAGGAGCTTGCATATTTGTTAAAAGAGAATAACATGTCTCTGGCAGCGATTCAGGCAGCTCATGAGTCGGGAATAAATAACTTGGGCTTAGAACTTGAGAAAGAACGTGACAAGTTAGCAAATATTCATCTAAAATTACAAGGTTCTTCCCTACTCTTTCAATGTCCAATTGTAATATCACATTTTGTCGTCTTAAATTTCTCGCCTGATCTGTTTTCCATTCCTAGAGGAACTGAAGTTGAATAAATCCTTTCAAGAGGAGCTGAACTTATCAAAAGTGGACAAGGACAAAGTGAGTTCTAAATTGGGTTCCTTTCTATTGGAATTGATGGCTATTTTGGCCTTTTGACATTATTTATGTAAAGTTGACCATAAATTACTTTTACTCATTTATCTTGAAATTCACCAATTATTTCTCAAATAGTTGTTACCTTTCTCTGTTGCAGCGAAAAATAAAGATCATAATCTAACTATATTTTCAAGGATCTAATATATTCTCATTAGTGGAACTTACTACTGACTATAATATCTTGATTGCTATTTTCTTTACAAAGACAAGTTGAAACTAATAGCTAAACTGAAATGTGGATGAAATTGGTGAAGGGTTTAAGTCAAGTTTTATTGCTTAACAAAACATCACTTGAGGTGCTATGTGCATGCACAGGATTTTGTACTCTGGTAGAATCTGTAGCATAGTGCTGGGAATTTAGGGTGTGGGTCTTCATGAAACATGAATATCTGGTAGTGTTCATGACATGAATTGTACTCTCCGTTAACATCATATGTATGTTGTGTGTATATGATACACCCATGTACTGTGTACATCATTAAATGTAACCTCTGTGTAGAGTTCTATGATTTTAAAACTGTTCTTGAGAATTTGGATCTAGCATGAACTTTTCAATTTCGCTTTGTGTGTTTTCAAAGTTGTTTTTACTTATGTATATTCTGTATGTTATCTCTCTCTCTCTGTCTCTCTCTCTCTGTCTCTCTCTCTCTTCTTCTTCTTCTTCTTCTTCTTTTCATTGGTTCTTGGCAATCTAATCTTTTCTTTTCTTCCACCCACACGTGGTGTTCTCTACTTGCAGAAAATGGAGATGAACAAAATTCGTGATGAATTGAATGAGAAAATATCAGAAGTAAGACGATTACAAATAGAATTGACTAGAAGGGAGAATGCAGAAACAGATGACATTGCAGATGGTTTAAAAAGAGTGATTGCAACCCTGGAGAAGGAGAACAATAATCTTAAGGTTTATACTTATCATTATTATATATTTGGTAGTATGTTGCACATGTGTTCTAAAATTTATAGGCTTCTATTTTTTTTTACTGGATTTATAAAGCTCTATTACAATATTAGCAATTGTTAGGTTTTATTTCTTGGCAAACCCGTTTGACAAAACTCCTTTGAGTTGTAATTTTATTCGTATTTTTATTTCAGTGAGACTTTGAGTGTTTAGATGCGAATCCAACCCGAATCAAGCCTTTCAGAGAAGTTTGTGTTGATAAAGCTTTCAAGATTGCCACTTCGCTGATTATGACGGGGATCGAGCTGCCCGGTCAACTCGCGGGGTCCAGGGGGCAGCGCCCCTTGGCGGGTCCGGGGCAGCGCCACGGCGGGGGCGAGGGGCAGCACCCCCGAAGCAAAATGCAAAAATGCATTCAAAGTTGCCTCCGAAAGCAGAGTGATAGATGTTTACATAAGACACAATTTGGATGATTATGTAAGTACACAAATGATTCAAGTAGCCTCATGTGTTGAACCATTTGAGGCCTTTTTTTTTTTTTTGTTGAAAGAAATAAACACATTTAATTTAAATGTTGACAAAGAAAGTAAATTATAGGTTTTTGAGGCCTTTTTATTTTCTTTTTCTACAGCCACAAGCCAATAATTGTGTAATTTGTGAATGAACCAATTCTAAAATGGCCCATTAGAAGATAACTGGTATTATTTATTAGATATGGCTGTTTGCTTAGTAAATAACTTTTACTCATATTGGACATTGTTGAATACAACTGAGTTAATTCAAAATATGAGTGGGTTTACATTTTATTTTGTTGAAAGAAATGAACACATTAAAATGTTCACAAATAAAGTAAATTTATAGATTTACAAGGTGTGCCTAGAATTATCTAATACTGAATGAACCAATTCTAAAATGGCCCAATGCACATTTGTGGTACAACCAAATTGACCCTTAGAAGATAATTGGTAAGATTAATTAGATATGGGCTGTTTGATTATGAAATATCTTTTACTCATGTTGGATACTGTTGAATCTTTGTAGATGAATTTCATTTTATGCAGAAGCTTCTCTGTTGAAACAGTGGGGCATGAAATCTCCAAAAAATTGAAACTTACATATTTCTTACTTTATTCCACCAGATTCCTTGGGAGAGACTGGATAATCTACTAGTATGTAACTTGTAAATTTCTGAAAGTGCTGGTTTGATTTGAGTCAATCTTGCTAAAGAATTAGCATTGTGTTCTCTTATAACTGAATAGAATTTGAGGTTAGATAAAAAAGTTAGGTCAGTTGCATATATTGTTATCTCTTACACAGCACAGGTGCATACCTTTTTTAATGCTTATTTTTCTTAGATTTTAGTTTTCTTTCTTTGGTTAATTTAGTGACTTATTTCCTCTTTCTTTGGTTAATTTAATGACTTCTTTCCTCTTTCTTTGTAGTCTGATAAAATAAATCTGGACATCCAAAGGGTTGTTGGGTATCGCCAATGGTGTAATAAACTTTGGAATGCTATGCGATTTGCCATGAGCAAACTTGGAGATAATTACACCCCTCTAACAAATGTGGTTCCAGATATCATGCCATTTAACTGCCAGTGGATTCTCTCCGTGTTGAACAAGGCCATATCAAAAACTGTGACATCACTGGACTCGTATGAATTTTCTGATGCTGTTACTGCAGTATATTCATGGTGGCAGTTCCAGTTGTGTGATGTGTTTATTGAAGCCGTCAAGCCCTACTTTGCCAGTGATGCTCAAGCATTTGCTTCTGAAAGGAGTTATGCACAAGACACCTTGTCGGTGCGTCTGGAATAACTAATTGGATGATGGGTTCTATTGCTGTTTGTTTTGGTTGTTTATCATTTATAATGGTAATAAGCTGTCTTAATACTAGAAAGTAACATCAATTAATGCTGCTCCTCAACCTTTGTTCTACTGTTTGCAGTGCTGGACAAATGAGAAAGTAGAGTATGAGATGGATATGATTGAGTCAGCCGTGAAATCACTCAGGTCACTCAGGGCGTTGATGCCTGCAAAAGAAAGGCATGAAAGGTAAATGTTTAAATGATATGTTTTTTTGTTTTTCATTTTATTGTAATAGAATTTTTATTTTTGGGTTATTTATTTATTTTTTTTCATTCATGAAAAGCATCTAAGCTTTAGTTGTTTATTCTTTTTTTATTCCTCATATTTTAGGCCAGGGAAATATTCTAATGTTTATTTTATGAAATACCTATTTGCTATGTATACAGTTCCATTTCTGATTATACTACTTCTGTGTAAGCCAAAATTCCTTTCCTTGGATTGTAATGATAATGTTTAAATATTGAATAAGAAAATAAATCGTTACGTAGGAGTGAGATTTTTTGAATTGTTCCCAACAAATACTTTGGAAATAATATGTAGTTGCTTTTTCATAAAGAAAATTCTATAAGGAAACATGAAGACTGGTTAATACTTGGTAATGGGACATGTCCTATATAGAATTTTGGTCATGGAACATTCTGTGAGGGGACATTGATGAGAATGTTCATTATTATTGTATATATTTATAGTGTTGGTTAGAATTTGATTTGAATTTTTCCAAATTTGAGTGGTCATATGTTGTAGTAGTGACTGACCTTCCAACATGATTGAAATGTGTTAAACAAAGATGTTGGTGCCCCATCTGAGAAGTTCTGGGGTTTACTTACTCTCCTTACTTGGTGGCCCATCTCAAAAATTAGATTCCATTAAACTTTGAGTCAGAGGGCTAGTCTTAGCTTTTTGCTAAAAGAAAATTTCTCTGAAGAGATTTTCCTCTTTAATGTGTTTTCAAAATTCCTCCCCTGGGAGTATTATACAGATCCTTATTCACTTCTTTTCTTGAAAAAGCACTCTCCGGTTGGCCAACAGACTTGTTGGTTAGCTAATTTAGCATGTCTGCATGTTCAATTTTCAATTGCTTTCAATTTGTCTCTTGTAGTATCATTATCACTATTTCTACATTTAAATGCAATCCATATGAAAGAGAGGGGAAATCTCAATCTTCGAAATTTCTACAACCATCATTGCATATTCCTCTTAAGTTGCATCAAATTGATTTTGTTTGTGGATACTTCACATTTTTGTGGCAAAAAACAGAGCTTCTACTCCCTGTGCAATCCCTGTTAAGCACTTCAGCCAATATCTGAAATCCAAATATTTTCCAATAATTGATTTTGGAACCTGATCATTTTGTTTTCTTGTGAGCCAAACTTGTCTCTTCATCCTGTGCTTAATTGAGTGGATGGAGACAGTGGCAGGATGTGCTGCATTGCACTATATAGTTTACCAACTTAATACAATGCACAGGAATCTTATAAGTTGCTCACTAGATGTAATGTTAATTCACTTGCCCCTCTCAGCTGCTGCATTCTAATTTGATGTGTTGATACTGTTTTGTAGAGCGTGATGAGTTACGTAAAGACATTGAACAGCTGTGTATGCAGCAAGCTGGTCCTGGTTACCTTGCTGTGGCTACTCGAATGCATTTTCAGAGGTATATTATTTATCTCAAGTTCATCAGATGAAGTTGTTATCATTAATATTTTTTTTGGTAGGTATGCGTTGGCATTATCTTTTCAAATTGGAAATAAGAATGCATTGTGAATTTATCCCCCCCCCATTAGGACAGCTGGCTTGGAGCAGGTATTGAGAGCTTGAAAGAGAAGTTAACTGCTTGCACTAGAGAGAAGTTAAATCTCCAAGAGGAGCTTTCGGAAGCTTACCGTATCAAAGTGAGGCTTCTTACCTTTTTTCACTTTGTTATTTTTTATTTTTATAAGCACTTGCATAGTTCTACTGCCAACAATCTTACATGTTTCCTATTTTGTCTCAGGGCCAGTTGGCTGATTTACATGCTGCAGAGGTATCAAAGGTATCGCTCTCTTTCTCTCTCTACATCCAGCACATGTGTTCACATTGGAGGTGTTGGTAGGAAGTTAACTTATGAATTATTCACTAATGGAATGGTAGCTATCCTACTAGTCTTAGGTTTTTGGGCAAAGAATGCCTACTGGTTTATTCTTTTAGATTACATACTGATTGAAGTGAGGAAACACTATGCCAATGACGTTTCCCACTTTCTGGAGGGTTTCTTTGTTCCATTATTTTTTGTAAGATAAGATGGTCTTGTTTTTGCATGAAAACTAATGATTGGCTTGTAGAGTCTAAATTGACAGTGGTATGGTTCATTGTTTTCAGTAGAGACAGAGAAAGGCATCCAATAGGGATATTTTTCAGGGTAGGTTGGCCATCATAATATTGATCCTTGTAATCTGATTCCATTTATTTATTTTTTCCTTTTCAGAATATGGAAGCGGAGAAGCAGGTTAAATTTTTCCAAGGTTGTGTTCCTTCTGCATTTGTTGAACGAGATCATTCAATAATGGAGGTTACTACTTTTTCCCCTCTTAAAGTTTCTATGTTCTGCTTGGTGCACAGGAGAAGGTTGGGGTTTAATGCCAAAAAAAAAATTACATATTAAAAAAAACCAGCAAAGAAAGCACATTTATTTGATGGTATACACCTGGTAAACTTAGAACAGCAGAAGAACACAACTGACAATCCATCAACTAACAACAGTAGCTGAAATGTTGAAGGTGATTGCTCACATCTGTGGGTTTTAGTCTCAACTCAAAGGAGTTGGAGATAGAAGGAAATAAATAATATCTAACATCTGGTGAGTGATTGTGTTCATCAATAGAGGTTAGTTTTAATTCAACTAGTTGGGAATACCGTGCGTGTAACTAAAAGCAGAAGGTGGCCGACTATAAATTGGTCTTTTTATGTGGGTTTCTATAATTTTTAAAATGGACCACTTAGGCCACATTAAGTACCATTCATATAATTATATGGGCTTATAAGAAGGCCACATTAATCGTCTACGAAGCATGGACACGACCTCATTAAGTAACATTAAGTAACATTCAGTAACATTAAGTAACATTCATAGTAATCGTCTACAAAGCCATCGACCTCGACCTCCATCCAGTCGACTTCGACCACCGTAAGCCTCTCTCTCTCTCTCTCTCTCTCTCTCTCTCTCTCTTGCCTTCCCTCTCGCTCTCTCTCTCTTGCTCTCGCTGATTAATATGTATAATATATATATATATGTATGTATTTATTTAATATTAATAAAAAAGACATCTTATATAGAAACACATTTATTTTAAAATATTATAATTAAATAAAATAATTAACTTGTATTAAAATAAAAATATATATATATATTTTTTTGCTGTGTCCTTAGCCGTGTCCGTGTCCGTGTTCCTATTTTTTTAAAATTGCCATGTCCCATGTTTGTGTCCCTGTCCGTATGCATGTCTGTGTCCGTGTTCGTGCTTCATAGGTCATCATCATCATTCTTAATTTTTTATTGGTCCAATTGACTTATGTTAAATAATATTTAAAAGGTTTAAACCAACCTGGCCCACTCACAGTCCATTCAGTGGGAGCAACTCCATACTTTCCTTTTGGTCCCTCTAATGTTGAAATTATGTCCCCACCCCAGGGTATGTGTATAATGTAAGCAATGTTAGTGGTTAAGGTTTGAAAAAATTCATACAAGCACTCTAACTTTAAAAAAATATAGTGGAATTTTTAATCCGAGTTTATATGCTAGTACCATACAAGCACTCTTTAAATCCTCCACATTTACGACACTACTGCCAACAGAAGAGTTTTACACAATCTTGTCCTATTCTCTTGTCTCAAATTCTATATCAAACCACACAATAAATATTTTTAACATGATTGTGTAGTGGAGAGTTGATCTAGTATAAAGAGGAAGAGATGATTTGGACATAGGATTGCCATTTGTTTATTTAGCAAATCAGAAGGAAAAATTTATATGCATCATGGAACTATAGTTTATGTAGGGTATGTTACACAAATCCCATCTAGCAGGGCCCTTGCTAATGTGAAATTTGTTCGAAACCAATAAATTTTTTTTTTTTTTTTGTTTACTATGTTAAGCCTACTCATATGTGAACAAACTCATCCTTGGATTTATCGTCTAAATTTGTTTTGTTATTACTACTCTCTTTGTAGTCAAAGGACAAATAAGTGATGGTTCCTATGCCATAGCTTTCTTATATACAAAGTTGTCCTAGCCATTTCATTTGGATACTAAAATGGCATCAATGAAGAGTCTTGTGCTCCTTGAGCATCTCTCTCTGGTGGTTTCTAATTCATTGGTTCTTGCAAATTTTCATCTTACTGCTGGGACTGATGATGGTTCGGAACAATGGGGATATGTTGAAGTTCGACCTAGTATGTCAAATTTTTCTATGAAATCTGAAATCAATATCCCCCGACTACTTTATTCCTGTGGTGGTTGTCAATAGTTGAACTATGCACATATTTATCAACAAAAAAAGTAATAATAATAAAAGTTGAACTATGCACATATAAACCAGTCACATAATCGGATGCAAAACATGGATAGGTGTTCAAATCTGTGACTGGTTTTCTGGACAGGTACTATGAATATCTTGTGAAACATGTATTTCTGTATGCATATCAGTATTTGTGTATTGTATATTTATTTTTGCTCCTAGCAGAAACATGTATTTGTGTATGCATACATATTTATGTATTGTATATTTACTTTTGCTTCATTGGAAGGTCACTTTCTAGCCAAAAGGACCCCTTTTATCTTGCATCTTTAACCCTAATTTTTTTTTTAGTATGAATAACCATATTACATAATGAAGTAACAAATTAAGAGATGAATTCATACCATTCTTGTTTTGACAAAGATTTGAGTCTTAGAAAGCACATAAGAAAGCTATTGTTTTATTTAAAATTTGATAATGATAGTCATTTAATTTGCTATTGTGAGCTTTGCTTTTCATGGACATTTTTCATTATTTGTCCAATTTTACCTGACATTATTTCTCTTTTTCTTTGGTACAGATGGATGAACTCGTGCACAAAACTAAATTGTACAGGACAAATTGGCACTTTTTGCATTTTTGGAAGGATTATATATTCTTGTATAGATGTATATGGAAAATATTAGGGTAGACTAGTTTCTATATTTTTGGATACATTAGTAGTTATATTTTTGGATGGGTGTGTATAGAAAATATTTGGTAGACTACTAGTTATATTTTTGGGTTGATGTACATAGATAAAAATTTAAAACATAATAACAAGTACTTGTTATGTTTTAAATTTTTATGGTAGATAAAATATGTAGTTTGGAATTATTTGTGGATGAAAACTTATAATAGTTGCTGACTTTAATTAAACAGGTTCAGAAATGGTTGATATATGCATTTTGTTGAATGTTCACGATTCAATTTATTTGTTGGTTTGAATGATTTTTGCAAATTACAGTTGAATAAATTGGATGGATTATTATAAATTACAGGTTTATTTTGTTGGATGTTGGCGACCAAAATTTGGTTTTGTTTTTCTAGTTTTGGCGACTAATTGATTAGTCGCCAAAAATATAAGTTATACTTTTGCCGACTAAATAAAGTAGTCGGTGTATCACCAAGCACATTTAGCGACTAAATAATTAGTCGTTAAAATTATTAATTTTGGCAACCAAAGGATTTGGTCGCGAATAGGTCTATTGCCGACTAAAGTTTTAGTTGCGCAAAACATGTTTGGTCGCGGAATGTGACAATTGGCGACCAAACAATTTGGTCGCGGAATGTGACAATTGGCGACCAAAATTTTTGGTCGTGGAATGTCACAATTGGCGACCAAAATTTTTTGGTCGTGGAATGTCACAATTGGCGACCAAACTTTTTGGTCGCGAAATGTGTCAATTGGCGACTAAGATATTTGGTCGGGAAAATATCACTTTTCGCGCTCAAAGTGTTTTAGCAACTAAATGAATTAGTCGCGGTAATGATATATTTAGCGACTAAAAATTTAGTCGGCAAATCCGACTTTTCCCGACCAACCAAAATTTTTGGTCACGAATTACTTTTGCCGAACCTCAATTGGCTACCAACGTAGCGACCAAAAAAATTGGTCGCGGATAACTTTTTCCGACCAAAAATGAGCTTTTAGTGACCAATTTTTTGGTCGGCAAAAGTGTTAATTCTTGTAGTGAAAGGAAAGCACAATTACTTATAAGAATAATAGCACAATTTTTACTATCTTTTTTTATGACTAGTGTCCGGACCAGCTATCAAAGAATTTTCTACCAAATTATGTTGAGAGATGTTAAGTAGCTAAACATCAAAGACCAAGTCCTGTACCAAAAGTGGGGAAAGGGGAAAGCCCAAGCCACCTAACAAGGTGCAGGCTATGAAATTAGTTTTTTTTTTTTTTTTAATTTTGCGTTAAAGTGATGATGTAACTTCCGCTTGCAACTTGCAAAGAAAAAATAATTTAAATAAGTTAAAAAAATTAATTATAGAAAAATAAAGGAGTGTAGTGTGTGCTTTAGTATCTCCTATCTTCTAAAATTGATAGCATACCCTCCAAGGCTCTCCACATATATATAAGAGGCGAGGAGGCAAAATATTAATTATCATATTGCTTGCCCCGTTGGAGCTCCATTTTATAATGATACTAGACAAAATGTCTACTCCAAATGCCTCTCCTGTTAGAGATGCTCTTCTAAATTTTTTGGTGGATATAAAGTTATGGGTTTGAGTCTCATTAGCGTCGTTGGGAGCACGAGACTCTAGAGCCAAAATTACCCAAAAAGACTCTAGAGCCACTGGCTCCTTACCATTATATGCCCCTTTGATGAGGATTGGGTCACGTTACGGTTTAACTCGCCTAGATGAAGCGTGTCCAAATCCTCTAGAGTGAGAGTTATCTAAAGTTTGGTAGAGTGATACAAAATGGCATAAGTTTATACAAAACAACATCGTTTTGTTTTATTAAAAAAAAATTTAAAAAAATTAAAATTTGCTTTGTTTAAGGCCAAAAAATAAAAATAAAAAAGAAGGGGACAAAACGAACAAAGGAAAAGAGAGAAAGAGATCGCTAATGCTGGTTCTTCATCACCAACCTCTCTCGCCGGCAATAGCCTCCTCTCCCCACACCCCGTTGACTGTTGCCAATACCCCACGCTCCTCCTACCACCCACCGAATCCCAAAAAAAAAAAAAGAGAGAGAAGAGATAGTGTGTGTGTGTCAGAGAGAGAGAGAGAGAGAGAGAGAGAGAAAGAGAACTGTAGATCTAGGGTTCAGGGAAAGAAGAAGAGGATGAAAGAAGAAAGCAACGGAGAAGGAGAAAGATAAGGGTGATGTTGTGGTGTAGTGGTGGTTTTCGGTGATGGTTTCCCGACAATGGTTTCAAGCAATCTCTCACTTCATTTTGTGCGTGTGTTTTATTTATTTATTTATTGGGATTCAATGGGTAAAAAAAGGTAGGTGGGGTAGAGATTGGCAATGGTTGACTGGGTTGGGTAAAGAGGCAGCTACTGCCAGTGAGAGAGGTTATTGATGAAAAACTAACGCTTGTGATCTGTGTGTGTGTGTGTGTGTGTGTGTGTGTGTTCAGCTCTTCTTCTTTCTTTCTTTTTTTTTCTTTTCTTTTCTTTTATACTAAACAAAACATCATTTTGAATCACTCTGCAAAACTCTAGACAACCCTCACTTCTAGAGGATCCACACATAGAAGAAGCACTTGCAACTCATGTTTAGGCTT